ATTGAAAAAAGCTAGTTTCGCCCCTGGTCATTTTCCTGCACGCAGTCTAACTCCGCAAACCACTCCATCTCCTCCGGGTATAAGTTGTTCAACAATCCCAATTTTCCGCTGTGTACGATTCTTTCCGTCACATTTAATCAACACAACATCAACCTTTCTTAGCTCTCTCTTTCCGTCACGTATTAAATTATGCCTTTTGCGAAGTGCTCTCATGAATTCTCCTCTCCATCGTTGCCACAACGCGTTCTTACATTACTTCAAATACTTCGTCCTCTTTCGCAGGTCTCGTTCTTCTATATCCTCAGGTGATAACTCCATAAGATAATTAGCTTTACCGAAAATCATCATGTTCGGCGTCAACACGGGAAGTTGAATGTCATCCTCGCAGTACGATAGTGGTCGATTCTTCAATACTAGCTAGATATCTAGCATCACGTCTTGCAATTCTTTGAAAGTAAGTTTTGCCGATCGTACGACCTTGTAAAGAGCTTGTTTCACTATGCTAACTATTCGTTCAAACATTCCACCCCACCAGCTAGCTTAGCTTTGCTTAGATTGAACTGCAATTTTACCCCCATGTTCACTCAGATAGCCTTAATTGTAACTTTTCGTTGCGTACCCTTTTTGATCCATTAGGCAGCAGCCGCGAAAGTCTTTCCATTATCTTATATCTAATTAAAAGAGGCTAGTTTCGCCCCTGCGCTCAGAGTTTAATTAAGTTTTTGGAAGGACAACCTTAATTGAATTAGCTGTACATTATCTAAACAGAAAATTCTGTGCATGAGCAACATATATATTAATATGAACAAATTACATACTATGCAAAACTAAGCATAACTAAGCAAAACTAACAAAAGTAAGCGTCCAATAAAGCAATTTTTAAAACTTAAACATTAACTATACCATAAAATGAGAAAACTAAATGAATTATGACCTTTAGGTTCGAATCCCACCGTGGCCGGGCATATTTTTCAAGCTCGCCCGGTGTGGATATACACTCAGAGTAACACCACAAATATCATATTCACCTGAGTACACTACACCAACACAGAAAAAATTTAAATGTTATATCGGCATTTTATGCCGTGTCAAAAATTTTATGAACGCTATTGCGTGCTACGTCATGTCATTCGCACTATGGTGGATCAGAGAAGTAGGGGCTTGCGGAAAGTGTACCGAAGAAATTAAGATCAACAAAACCGCTAGGTAGATGTCGAAATACTGTTGGTTAAAATCTGTCAGAATATCAGCCATGAGCAGGTGAGGGAAAATCGTCAATTAGTTACCTTCGACTGAACAGTCATTCCCAGTATATCTAGGTTCACAAAAGCACAAGACCTTTCTATCCGTATCCGTCCTACACTGTTGCTGACTTGGGCATATGTTGAAAGCACATTGATCTAGAGATATATGAAACAGTTGTAAATTTTGCGTTATATTAGCAAATGCATGAAATATAACCCATATACCCTGTGCTGTAGCCATATTAAAGTTATAGACTGAAAATTACCTATTATCATTACCTATTGAACTGAAACAATCTACTAATCTTAATCTCTTTAAATCCAAACTAAAACAATTTATCTAATTAAGTTGAACAATTTATCTAATTAAGTTGAGTTTGGTTTTTTTTCTAACTATGAAGTATAATTATATTTTTCTATCTATGAAGTATAATTATATATAATCCATTTGTAAATATTTTATAGTTTTTAAATAAGCACAGTATAGTTTACCATTATAATATAGATATATATTGCAGGACCTCCCTGAAAAACACTTCGGTGAGTGGAGCTTCCTGAATAAATATTATTATTATTATTATTATTAAAATTATGATGGTGCAATTGTTTGTTTGTGAACAATAATCTTGCGAGGACATCTTTGCACTTCGCTGTGCATGTTCTCACATATCCGGACTTACGCCAGGAAGAGCGTTTCGCGTCGTTGGCGGAAGGATAAAAGCATATTTTTATATCTAGAAGAAAGCTTTTCATATATGCTCGTTTTTTAAAACGAGTGCAATTGCTTACCTTCTAAATCTGTGAATATATCCTGATCACACGGAAGTTCTTGCCATTATTTAAAAGGAAAAACAATAAAAGTTATTTGAGTTCAATGATAGGACGCACTCTGTCCTGTAGTAAGTGTCTTGACTGTCCTTGGCCTCCATTACACGATCTTTATACTGAAAGGAGGAAGAAAAGTCTCTATGCTCGACATTTTTAGTACACGTACAGTTTCGTAATGCCGGCTTATTGCACGTACGGCCTCCTTGCATGAGGAATTGGAGGATGTCTGACTAAGATTAAGCATAATGAACTCTTATTTGAAAAAAGAATGCTCATGAAGGTAAATGGACTTAGCCACCTGAAAAATCAGACTCAAAACGAAATTAGGTTAATTATTGCTTTCGATCAATTATAAATAGATAAATTAAATTGTGTTCATGATAGAAGTTGCATGGACAAAATAAAGGATGCAGGGAGTTATTTTTGAGCACTATAGATGTTTATTAGATGCGGATGGAGCTAAATATAAGATAATTTATACCTCAAGCAGCGTAATTCAGGCACCAAAACGACTTTGAATATTTAATGAGGTTAGAATCGTAGTAATTCTTTCGATTCCAAATCGGGGGTGGGGTCTTTCTAGTTTGAAATAAATGTTTTCCAATTATTTCTTTAATAAATTATTAACGTTAAATATCATTACCTATAATTTCGCAGTTGGATCCAGAGTACCCAGCTCTACAGGAACACGAATACGACTCGCCATTAGCACCACAAACACCACCATGTTCACAAGGATGGTCAGCACACGTGACTGTATGTGATAGAAAATATATTAAAACATATGTGTGTACTTGGAGTCAGGCATTATATACATGTATGTTAGTCTCGTATCCCATTCATTTGCAGTTCGAGGAAATATTTTTCATTTCTGATGAAAAAATGGAAAATATTATCAACAAGGTAAATACTTAAAAAAGGTTTATGCACTAACATTTATTAACCTTTCTGAAATATTGATCACGATATGAAAACGTTTCCCTATAAAAACAATTGTAGCCTACAATGTACATCCATTTGGGCTCCACGCATCAACGAAGAAAAGCTTTTCCATGCAGGAAACATCACGTCCGTTTCAGGTTTTGATTATATTAACGTTAATTTATACAATGTGTTGTAAACAGTGTAGTAAAAAGTCGATTTGACACGAATAGCAACTGGCAATAGAGTTCTCGCATGGCGACACATACTCTCAAAAGATTTAGCTTGAATCTGAGTGGTGTGCATTCATTGCTTTGTCGTAAACGCTTTTTATAGTCTTGCCGTCCAACTTAGCTACATTACAGTATTTTTTATGTGC